GGAAATCTTGATTTCGGACTGCCGAGTAGCTGAATTAGAAATGCAACTTTAATTTTATTTCTTTGAGGTAATCTGAGCTCATATATACGGTTACTTAACACTAAACATGATGCTCAAGGTCATGCATGTCAATCTAAGTGTTCGGATGATGAACTTAAGAATTAGAAAAATTTTCTGTTTCGGTTAGATGTCCCTGCCGAGGATTGATTTGGGCATTGCAGCTTCACTTGGCTCCAGTTTGTTGTTCTGGAACTTATAGTTATGTTTATCTAATAGGGGATGAAGTTAGTTATCGATCTGCATGTTGGCTAGGTGCGATTAGATGATGAAACAAAATTTGGGAAATTTCTGGTTTAAGGAAAACAGAATGATCGTGGGCTGAATTTGATAATGCAACTCTAATCCGCTAAACTGTCTTAAACCGAGCTTGTGCAGGGAATTAATGATCTAATTACTGACCAGTGAATCTGTTTACTACTTTGCAAGTCCATGCTATATCCTCGGATAATGAATTTAGGAAGAAAGAAATTCTGTTTTGAGGAAAAATGATTTTTGCCGTGGAAATGACTTGGAAGTGCATCTATAATTTTGTCTTTCTGTGATAATGTGATCACACAAGAGTAATTAGCTGTGTGAATCTCAATGTTCATGAGGTCTAAGACCCTGCATGTTAATTCTACGAAGTAAATTGATGAATTAAAGAACCTAAAAAAAAATTCTGGTTTAAGTGAATTGGGAATTTGTATGACCTGAAATTTCCGAGACCTGGAATTGAATTTTAGTTCTCAATCTATGATTATGGGGCTTTTATGAGTTAATGTATATGATTAACTAGTTAACAACATGTTAATTGAAGTTTGCATAAGGTTTTTGTTGCTTGGCTATCCAGGAAAATAAAAATGAAAACAGAAAATTATTTCAGGAAACATCATCCGAACTTAGTAGAAATAAATTCTGGATTTGTGTTTGATGAATACAGTTATAGCATGAACCTGGATTTGTTTTGAAAATCTGTACTAGCTAGCTATGTTTTCAAGAACTAATAGAGTACCAAAAATCCTGTTTTAACCAAAGAAAAATTCTGTTTTGAAATCACTGCTATTGCTGGAATTCCTTTGTGAATTACCGTTAACTTGAACCTGGAAATTTGAAGATTATAACGGTGGTTTAGTTTCAACTCCTGAATGGAAATTGTGCATTGTTTAGCTAAGTCATTGCATGAGAATGTGAGAGTTTAAAAGCCTACCTCACCCGAGTAAATGAAGTAAAAACAGAAATTTCCTTCATGCATGATTCATCCGTGGTTTACTAAACAGACTTTTGAAAATTTTGGGAGGTTTAACTCTACTGCTCGAATTTGATTATGAACCAGAATCTTCAGCTTGACTTTAGAATTTATTTCCCTAAGTTGTTAGGAACTCGAAATGCATGATTAAATGCACAAGTAGCCTGTGGAATCTGTTTGGCAATAAACCATTTGATATCTTGGGACTTCGTTTTCGAAATAAGTAAAGTGCAGTTATGGAGATAAGCTGGAAATTTTTCCAGCCTTGGTCATGATTGATAAAGTAGTACGTATGGATTACTTTATATATCTTGGAGCTGTGGAAAAATTGTACTACCTTTGAATTTGCTTTATAATACCTTGAGATGGTCATGCCTTGGAATTTGGGGGTGACAATGTGATATTGTGGATAGTATTTCTTGGCTTTGGATCAAATACTTGAATAGGAGGCTGCTGCAAATGTGATCTTTGGTTCTAAATAACTGTTAGCAGATTTAAATATTTGATATGTTAAGCTTGGTTGTCATAAGAATTACTGGGTGAGTGCTAAGGGCTAATGATTGATGAACCCTTAGCCATTGAAATGATTTCTTTTTATAAAGTGTTACTGGATGACAGAAAATAATTGCTAGAATGTCTTGGGACTTCACTTTTATTTTATTTGCTTATATTGGGTTGCTGAAACCAAGTGCTAATGATTGATGAAGCCTTGGTTGACTATTTTATTTTATTCGAGAATGCAATTGTTGAAAGCTAGGGCTAATGATTGACGAAGCCCTAGTAACGTGCTATGTGATTTTTGCTATATTTTGATCTATATTGTGATTTCGAAACGGAATCGGAGCGGGGAAATTGTATAGACCTTGCGAACTCGAGTAGCCGCGTTCAAAATTAACCAAGAATATTTTCGCAATTAGGATTATATTATAAAACTCTATATCTAGCGTTTTGCCTAAAACTTTCCAATTTAATAATTTCCTTCAGCTCAAACCAGCTCCGATAGCTATGGTACATAAGTTCTATAACTTTTGGAAACTACAAATCTTATTTCAATTCTTTTCCTTCCTATAAGCCTTGCACTTCTATAGTTAACTATAGAAAAGTTTTAAAATACTAGTTCTACTAATCCTAGTGAAAAGCTTGGGAGACTTGCTCGGCAAGAAACCCTATTTTAGGAAAAATAGTTTTAAGGATAATTTTGCAAAAGCCGTAACTTTAGAGAAATGTTCAAAGTAACTTTCTAACCATGATTTTGAGAAGTTTGTCGACTTGTTGCTAGTAAATAACACTAGTTACCCTCTTCTAAGGAAAATAAAGAACATTTCTATGACTTTTGTCAAGCTTCAATCTAAATAGATTTTTGAAATCTCTTGAGAAAGTAAACTAGTATTATATTAAATAAATTCTTATACGAATAAGTTTAAAAACTGAATAGAAACTTATAGTTTCAAAATTTGGTTTTAGGATATCGCGAGGACGCGGAATTCGATTCCCAACCTGATATCTGAACTTCACTCTTGGTGAGTGTCCCTGCCTGTTCTTTTCCTACTTGAATTAAGTGCTTTCTTGACTCGATATGTGATGAATTGTAAAATGAGTTTTTGATCCATCGAAGTGAGCAGTGTGTACTTTATCGCACTAGCCGTTCGAGTGGTGACTTGCGTGAATCATTTTTCTCGTGAATCCTTAATCTAAGAGTAGTTACGTCGTTGGGTGAATCCCTCGGCACTTGAATCAACTACAAAAATCCTTGGATCTAAATGTAGTTACGTCGTTGGGTGAATCCCTCGACACTTGAATCAACTACAATAATCCTTGAATCTAAAAGTAGTTACGTCGTTGGGTGAATCCCTCGACACTTGAATCAACTACAAAAACGTCGATTCGTGAATCTCTCGACTAATTCTATTACGGGTATATCTCGAGTATACTGCGTCGGTAGACGAAGTTCGGGCCCGAAGCGGAGGTATGAACGGTGACGGGTTAGGATTAAAATAAGTGGATCTACATGGACTATAGGTAGTGAAAGTTGACGGAGGGTCAACTACGAGGGTATCTGATCAAGCGAGGAGAATGGCTCCCGAGAGCCCCTGTATCCTACCTTGTGCTGTTATACGCTTTCTTAATTGATTAAATTTGTTTAAATTGTTATCTGTTGTTTGATTTATGTGAGTGCATGTTTTGGGGCACCACTGAGCTTTAGCTCACCCCACGTTTATTGTTTTCCTTAACAGTTCTGGAAGTTGAAAGCTGGAATACTTGCTTATGTTTCCCTTCTTGAATGTACTGAATACTATGACTTATGTTGTGGGCTGTATTGTGTTTGATTCGGATAATGTACTTTTTATTTTGGATTGCCACTTGAAGCTGGAAAAGTGTAATCTCTATTTCTAGTACTCAACTTGTGTGTTTGTATTAGTATAGTATATCATTAGCTATCGCGAGCGTCGCTGGAAGTGTTTAGGAACTGTCGATTGGCTAAGTTTTATACTGTTACTCTGAAGTTAATGTGGTTTGTAAATCGACTTATTTCGGAAGAATCCTTATTGTAATAGTTAAGTTTATCGTCGGAAGATTTTAGGTTAGTTTGCTTGCGTGAGTCCTGGCGAGAGCTGGGCAGACGGCCCGCCAACCCTTCGTTCGCCTTAGGGGGAAGTGGGGTCGCCACAGGTGGTATCAGAGCCTAGGTTAGAAAAGTTATTGAGAGATATACTATACGAGTTAGAAACCCGAACTTTTAGAAGTAAGAATTGAATATATTCTAAGTGATGCTGATCTAATTATCTATTTGAGTTCTAACCTCTAAGTTTAATTCTCTTGCAGGTATGGAGAATGGTAATGGACACGCTAATGGTAATGGGGTCCTAATGGACACATAGAGCCCTTAGGTCCATCTCTTACAGACCACGAGGTGGAGGAGCCCATATACGTTACACCCCAGCTGATAGGCATCCTCGGTGCCAGTGTAGGGCCATGTATGCCTACCCCAATGAGCTAGTACTATCCCTGGATGATGAGCGCCACCATCTGAGGGACGCTAACTTCACCATGACCCAGGATGTAGAGGAGCTGAGTATCATGGTAGATACCCAGTTCGACGCATAGCCGATTTGGAGGTTAGGCTAACTGCTGAGCATCTTTGCTGGAGGCTGCTCGCTAGAGATAGCACGTCAGAGGACGAGGGTGACCCGATTGGCTGAGAGGATTCGTGATAGGAGCGTCGGTATCAGGGCTGATGCCGCGATGATGATAGACGAGGCCACGAGCATCCTTCAGAGTGTCGAGCAGGAGGACCCAGAGGAGGATCCGGAGGAGGATCCAGAGGAGGATCCGGAGGAGGACATAGCTCCCGATAGCCCTGCGGAGGGATAGGCTTGGATCGATTTGACTATATTAGATATATAGGGTTAGAATAGGGGGACGTTAGCTAGGTCATCAAGTTTTGTCTAGGCGGATGATTTGCTTCTGAGGCACCACATCCCTAATTTTTGTTAAGGGATTATTCGTATGTATTTTTGCTGGTTATGTGCCTTACTTTTGGGAATGTCCCAACCTATTATTTGTATGACTTTTATCCGGAAATATATGTTAAGTGTTTTACTTACTTGTCTTCCATTCCATATTGACTTTAATTACTAAAGGAATGTTAACAAGCCTAAATAAATAATTCTACGCTTAATCGTTTGATCCTTCCATAATAGGCATAACTTAGACCATGGATCGCCAAGTGGTAGGAAGGGGCCGCGGAGACCCACTAGACAACATCCGGAAGCGGGTAGAGATAGAGAGCCCGAGGTCAATCCAGACCAAAGGCAAGAGGGTGGGGCCGGAGACGGAGTGGCCACCGCTATTAACCGTATCACTGACGTCCTAGAGCGCTTGACTGAACACCAAGCTGCTGGACCAGGGCGCCATCAGGGAGGCCCAGTCGATTCCGATGATCGGGCATTGGAAAGGTTCCTGAAGTTTGGACCTCCCAAATTCCATGGAGGACCTGAGCCGGAAGTGGCCGAAGGCTGGTGGGAGAGGATCACTGAGATCTTCGCCGCCCTAAACTATACGGAGGAGCGAAAGGTGACTTTTGCCACCTTCCAGTTTGAGGGAGCTGCTCGCTCCTGGTGGAACCTAATGAGGGTCCATTGGGAGACTAACCATACACCACGGACTTGGATGAACTTCACAAGGGAGTTCAATGCCAAATTCCTGCCGCCTCTCATTCAAGAGAAGAGAGAGGACGATTTCATTCGATGCAAGCAAGGGGCGATGAGTGTCGCCGAGTATGAAATCCAGTTCACAAAGCTATCCGCTTTGCACCTGAGTTGATAGCCACCGAGCAGAGGCGTGTTCGGAGGTTTGTGCAGGGTTTGAATGTAGAACTACAGGAAAGTTTAGCCGCGGTGAGGATAGATACTTTCGCAGATGCTGTCGAAAGAGCTCAGAGAGTTGAAGTAGCTAGAGCTCAAGTGAAATCCTTTCAAGCTAAGAAAAGATTTAACCCCAGCAGTAGTCGAGAGCCGACGTATGGAAATACTCCACCGGCTAAAGTGGGCCGGGGAACTGGCGGAATGACTAGTCCCGGAGCACCGCGAGGTGCACTAGCAAGGGGAACCGGGGCAAGGAATGCAGGGGGAAGAAACAATGGATTTAGAGGGGGACCGATTGGAAGAGGACAACCTAGAAATACCTCGCAAGGAGGCCGAGCCATAATTCCCCAAATGACTTGTGCATACTGTAAGAAACCTGGCCATACTATGGATAGCTGCTGGAAGAAGCAAGGAAAGTGCCTGAAATGCGGAAGCAGCGAGCACCAAATTTCTGGGTGCTCAAAAATGCAGGAAGGGACTACTTCGAATGCTAGACCAAACACTTCTGGAGGGAGCCGGCCGACAGTTCCTGCCAGAGTGTATGCTTTAGGAGATCAACCTGTACCTAATGCCTCGGAAGTGGTGGAAGGTACACTCCCGATCTTTCACCGATTAGCTAAAGTATTGATTGACCCTGGGGCAACCCATTCTTTCGTTAAGCCATCCTTTATGTCTGGATTAGATGTGCAACCTGTTAGATTGCCCTTTGACCTTGAAGTTAGGACACCCATGGGTAATAAGAATGTAATCACTAGCTTGGCTTATAGGAATTGTGAATTCTGGATTGGAGAGCGTAAAATGCTAGTGGACCTGATTAGCCTAGACATAAAAGGTTACGATGTTATAATAGGAATGGATTTTCTAGGTCATTATCATGCTAAACTTGACTGTCGAGCAAAAGTAGTGGAATTTTGTATACCTGGTGAAGCAACCCTGAGGTTAGATGTTAAGGGTAGGTTAGCATCTTCTGCTATGATCTCAGGAATTAGAGCAAGGAAAATGTTGTCTAAAGGAGCGCAAGGTTTCTTAGCTTTCTTGATAAACGCTCCCAGCGATCAAGTGAAGCTGGAGGATGTACCTGTGGTACGAGAGTTTTCGGATGTGTTCCCTGAAGAGCTTAAGACTCTACCGCCGGAAAGGGAGGTGGAATTTAAGATTGACTTGGTACCTGGAACGGCTCCGATTTCTAAGACCCCGTATCGAATGGCTCCTGCCGAGCTAAAAGAATTGAAAATTCAACTGCAAGATCTGTTGGAGAAAGGTTTTGTGAAGGAGAGTGACTCACCTTGGGGAGCACCCGTCCTATTTGTAAAGAAAAAAGATGGAAGCTTGAGGCTGTGTATTGATTACCGAGGGTTAAATGAGGCTACAATTAAGAATAAATACCCTCTACCGTTGATTGATAGCTTGTTCGACCAACTGCAAGGGTCAGTGGTCTTTTCTAAGCTGGATTTGAGGCAAGGGTATTATCAGTTGAAGATCAGGAAGGAAGATATACCCAAGACTGCTTTTAGTACAAGATATGGACATTTTGAGTTTGCAGTCATGCCTTTTGGATTGACCAATGCACCAGCTGCTTTCATGGACTTGATGCAGAGAATTTTTAAGAAGTACCTGGACCAGTTTGTAGTGGTTTTCATAGATGATATCTTGATCTACTCTAAGACTCGTGAGGAACATGCTAAGCACCTAGAGGTGGTTTTGCAGACATTAAGAGAGCATAAACTATATGCCAAATTCAGCAAGTGCGAGTTTTGGTTGACTGAGATATCTTTTCTAGGTCACAGAGTTTCTGAGGATGGTATTGCCGTGGACCCGGCAAAAGTGGAAGCCGTTATGAATTGGAAACAACCAGAAACTCCAACTGAAGTTAGAAGTTTCTTGGGTTTAGCAGGTTATTATAGGCGATTTATCCAGGATTTCTCGAAAATTGCAGGACCTATGACTGAGCTAACCAAGAAAGGGGCTAAGTTTGTCTGGACCCCGAAGTGCGAGTCAAGTTTTCAGGAACTAAAGAAGCGGTTAACATCCGCTCCCGTTTTGGTTCTACCTGATGGAGGTGAAGGTTATGCTGTATATTCCGATGCTTCCAGAGAAGGTCTGGGATGCGTTTTAATGCAAATGGGTAAGGTAGTTGCTTACGCTTCTAGGAAATTGAAACCCCACGAGCAAAACTACCCAACTCATGATCTAGAACTAGCCGCAGTAATTTTCGCTCTCCATTTAAGTCGAAGTGACAAAGAAAACGTACTCCGAGCAGTCATTATTTTATTTCTCAAGGGTATAAATTCGGCCAAGTCCTTACTTATATACCTCGGTAAAAGAAGATGCAAATATCCTAGATGGTTCAAGTGGTATTCACTCTTAACCCTTATTCAAGTTGCAAGTATAGTTCTCTAGTTCTCGAGCGTAAATTTGGGCAGCACGCCCTTTGTGTTTGCCTAATTTTTCCAGACATTTATGACTTCATTATTTTCCTCAGCCAATCCCAAAGTTATACACAATATAAATTCATCACAATAGCCATTCAATAGGCTCAAAGTCATATGAGTACAAAATCAAGTTAACAACATGTGCGGAAATGAGATCTAACAAAAGACAGATTTGACGTCTTTTTGCGTAACGGTCACAACCGAAGCTACGCTTATCGAATTGGGATGAGACTTATACTGTTTCGAAGCTAACACAAGGCCTACAATTTTGATGAAGACCACTTAGTCCAAATTCCAGTGTAACCCAGTCAAATTCCCCAATCACAGAACCAAATTCCAACAAACCGGTCAGTTAACCGTACTACCTTCAAATGGCTATATCTCAAGTTACCAAAGTCCGTTTAAGACGTTCTTGGAGGCGTTGAAAAGCTAAGACAAGGTACTAAAACTTTCATGTTTTGGAAAATGGCTAAATCAGCACGGATCATAGTGAATAGACACGGTCAATTGGATGAACTGTCTAAAACGGATCACTGGATGCATCCTAGGGCAGTGAGGGTATTTTGGTCTTTTCACAGGCTACGTTGCTTCGCTTAGGCTGAAATTTTGTAGGCAGCCATAAAACATCATTCTCTACAACTTTCATGTTTTTTTCTAAGCCAAATTCGGCCTATAACATACTGAAATAGAATCGGGAAGAACTGAACCACAATTTTCCAGAAATCTGGAATTTTTGTTATTTCAAGCTATAATTCATTTTTTCACCTTGAAACTACCACTACTTTCACCTTCACAAGATCATATACCATTTATATACATCATACAACACCTAACCCACAAGAAACCCTAACTCAAAATCATCCATCCAATCATCACAATCACTTGAAACAAGCTTCACAAGCACAATACTAACATTAATACTCAACTTAATCATGATTAATGGAAAAAGAATGGTTGATCAGCCTTTATACCTCAAGATACAAGCTTCCAAGGATGATCCTTCACCTCTCCTTGAAATTTTTGATTCCTCGAGCTTCCCAAGCTTCCACCTAGTGAATAATCGATTTAGTTTTCCTTGGTTGCACTCAAATGGTTGGATTCAAGATGGATTGAAGGTTTTTCTCTCTTGCTCTCTCTCTCTCCCTTGCTCGGCCAAAAAAAACAGAAAGAATGAAGGAAAATAAGCTGAAATGAAAGATAAAAGAACAAGAACAAAAATTAATCAAAGAGCCATAGGGTGGTGACACTTGTCACCACCAAAGCCATGCAAATTTCTCTCTCTTTCCCTTGCATTTTGGGCCACAAATTTCGGCCATATGGATGAGTATGAGGGGGGGATATTTTGCAAAAATATCAAGGGTATGTGGTGGTAAGAAAGTGGTGGGTTCAATCGGTAGTGATCGATACCCGTCGGTTTGACGCGATTTCTCTTAAATCGCGTATACTAGGGTTTTTAGCTTATAATCACTAACTTATTATTACCACTTCTAGTCATATAGTATTCCCTCATCCAAAAGTCACTTTTACCTATCAAATTTGATCCTCACTCCGTACCGAATAATCATACTATGGGAAAACGTGAAACCCTAATTCGCTCTTAACTTGGAAACGAAAAATGAAACCCTACTTCCTAGGTTCATTTGCACCTATTGAGGAATGATTGGGTATTAGGGCCATAATAAATGAATAATTTCCAAATAAAAGGCATTTTTAAGAAAAACGTGAGGAATTTTACAATTCCAGTGATTAAAATTAGGGTTTCAATAAAAATATGAGTGATTTAAGAAAACCGGTTTGTCACAAATAAATTAGGGTTTTTGATTAAAATTTTTTTTTTAGGGTTTCTAGTCTTTTAAAACAAAATAAGGTTTTAAATCAAACCCAAAGAAATACACTTTAGTATTTTCTTTACAAACAACCTCCTAATTTTCGGGGTATAACAATCTCCCCTCTTTCAAAAAATTTCGTCCTCGAAATTCCAACTGGCATTGATCAAATTAAACAATCCTCGACATTTTTACCTTCTGTTGCCTCAGAGGACCCCGGAACTTGTTGCTGATCTACGGCATAAACCTGTGTTAATACTTTTGTTTGGTTTCCTCTTTCATTAGTTTGTTTCGGTTTGGTTCCTTCCGCTTGTTGAGTACTACCCTCTCGTGGCTGTTTCTTTGGGCAATTGCTAAGTTGATGATTGCTATCCCCACAAATCAAACATTTTACCCCTTTTCGCCAGCAATCATTCTCAGTGTGATTTGCCTTTCCACAGTATCCACACGCCAATCGAGGAGCTACTGTTTGACCTTCTCGAGAAATGTCCTTTGATCCGATCTGACTTCCTTTCGTAGAACTTTCATCTAATGCTCTTCATGTCCAAGGTGGGCGAAGTGAATGGTTCACTTTTTGTACTTTAGAGAGCATTATCTTTTCTCCGGATTCCTCATGTATGCTGCTGGATGTATCTCTTTTCCGCGTTTGAAGGGCTTTTACTTGGGCTTTCACATCCTCAATTCTTTGAGCCTTCTCAAGAGCCTCTGTAAACGTATTAACTTGAACCGCCGCTAATGCCCGCTGGATTTCCAAATTTAGTCCTTGTATAAATCGTCTTATTCTCCTTCGCTCCGTAACCACCAATTCGAAAGCGAATTTAGACAGTCTAGTAAATTTGGTCTCATATTCGGCCACACTCAGGGTTCCCTGACGCAACCCAACAAATTCGTCCTCTCTCCTTTCTTGGACCAAAGGTGGGAGATACTTTTCGTTAAATTCCCTTACAAAGTTCGCCTATGTCCATACCGTCTGTTCTCTTTCCCACTTGGCCTTAATTACATTCCACCACGTGCGGGCTGGTCCTTCGAATTGAAATACAGCAAAATTTACTTGTCTTTGCTCCGTGTAATTCAAAGCCACGAAGATATTAATCATTGCCTCCAACCACTGCTCAGCTATATCCGGATCAGGCCCCCCTTGAAATTTCGGAGGTAGAAGCTTTTGGAACCTCTCAAGAACCCTATCCTCTCCTATCTCAGGATTCCGGGGTTGATTCACTGGCATTTGACCTTGTTGATCTCTCAGTCGTGCTAGGATATTTGTCATTTGTTGCATCGTCGTCGTCATTTGATCTCCGGCCTCAACCCTCGGTCCATGTTCTTGCTCGGCCACTGTTTCTCTTTCTTCTCTCGGTTCTTGAGCTTGCCTAGCCCCACGGCTACGACTAGCTCCACGTCCACGACTACGTCTCTCCTCCTTTCTTTTTTTGTTTTTTCAAAAATGATTTAGTATGTAACAAAGTAAATTGACTAGAACGGCAAAATTTACCACACCAAGTTCACAAAGAAACATATCAAGTGGACAAGATCAAATGCAACAAGTACTATACATGTGGATATTATCATGCCACAAGCCAAATACACACGGTAGCAGTACAAAGACAAAACAAGAAGATAACACGACAAGCCGTTTCACACTTGGTTAACATAGCCCCCGTCCGATCTCTCACGTCACTTCCTATTCACTAGATGTCCGTTAACCTCTTATACTCATTCTAGCCGAACAAAGCCTGTTCATGTTCCAAAATACAAGTCTCAAATACCTAGTAGCTAGCGTCGCCTCAATTCCAGAGTACTCGGGTACGAGAATCTGAAATAAAACAGTTCACATCTCGAGCTGGCCAGTCCCAAGAGTAAACTATCTACATCCGAAATTCCTACCTGACGTACCTATCTATGGTCCTCAGATACCATGAGAAATATTTAAGACCTATAGCACTTCAGGGTTCATAGCTTATGCTCGAACGAGCACTTAGTCCTTCATAATTATTCATCACTTAGCCCAAACTCACTCCGCGCAGAGACCACGCGAAGCATGCTCTGATACCACCTGTGACAGCCCCATCTCCCCCTAAGGCGAACCGAAGGGTTCGACGGACAGCCTGCCCAGCTCTCGCCTGGACTCAGTCGTTCACTTCAACCCTCAAATAAAACCAGAATAAACCCACAAGAATAAATATAACGACGATCCAAAACTTAAAGCAAAATTTATGTACATCACTATCTCAAAAGGGAGTACAAACATCGAATATACAAAGGTTCTCAATTCACCACACATCCGGCCCGTGCCAAGCACTAGGGCGAGAACCATTACAAAATCAAAGAACTAGACTAGGCTAGTCTATACAGAGCACTCATCCCGCTCGCCGTCCCCTGTTAAGGAAAAAACAAAACTAAAGGAATGAGCTAAAAGCTCAGTGAGATTCTATACATAGAAACAAGTAATTAAACAAGGACATTAATCATGTAATAACAAATAATCAAAAAAACATGTCCAATATAAAGCAATGATAATACATTCATTAAAAGGATACAGGCTCACAAGGAGCAATTCGTTCGTTCGTTCCCCTTTCATTCCCTTATTCCTCCAATTATTTAAAAAATGCATTTTCGTAAGTAAAACCCCTCGTTTTTGACGTTCGTTCGTCATTATCATTCACCTCCTCCTGGACGTTGGCCAGGCTTTTCACCCCCATCCGGACGTTGGCCGGACTCCACCCGACAACAAGGTAATACTCGAGTATACCAAACGTTCACCTAGGTCACTAAATCGCCCGACCGAGTCCGCTTTTGGCTCGAGTCGATCGGTAACAAGGGCAAGGGCCCCGTTCGGCCGAAAGGCTTACATTCATGCGTAACTAGTATTTCAACA